CAGGTGTCGCGAGTACTTGATAACATCAACAAACGCCTGCTGCTAGTCAGGTGGTTTGAACGTTATTTGAAGTCCAGTCCTGCGCAACACTGACGCCGTTTGCCTCCGTCCAGCATGGACGAGGCACCAGCAAGCGATCTCCACAGGCCTCCCCGACAGCAGCGAGAGGCTGCTACAACAGCGGTTCCGTCGAAATCCTTCCCTGGAAAGTGTGACCCCAAGACGGTAGCTCTTCTCAGGAGGCTTTTCAGTGCAGGCGAAGGGCTCGGACACTCTAGCACAGGCTCCATGGAAACTGACACCAAGACACGAAGACCAAGAGTGCTGCATCGCGAAGAAAAATGCTTCATCGTGAGAGGATGAGTAAGAGAGGCTTCACGGTTGAAAGATACGCTGCTTCGCCGTCAGTAGTCAGCAGGACAGCTCGTCCTCTGGGGGACCGCTCTACTGCCAGGAGAACCGCTCCACCATCAGGAGGAGCGCTCCGCCGCCAAGAGGACCGCTCCGTCGTCAGGAGGACAGGTTCGCCCTCGCGGGGACCGCTCCCTCTCAGGGGGACCGTTCCGCCGTCAGGAGGAGCGCTCTACCGTTAGGACGAGCGCTGTCTTGCGGAAGACCACTCCGCCCTCAAAGGGACCGCTCCGCCCTCAGAGGGACCACTCGGTCGTCAAGAGAACTGCTCCGCCATCAGGAGGACCGCTCCTCCTCAGCAGGATCTCTCCACTCAGAAGTTGAGGGCGTCCGCGGGCTCTGGGTAGTTGTAGCCGCACTCCTGCTTCACGGTGGACGTGATGGTGATCTCACGCACCAGCGGGCGGGTGATGTAGGAAGTGATCAGCCGGTTGGAGACCTGAGTGCGCGTCACCACCTGCACGAGAGTGGAGGCCGGCAGCTGAGCGTGCTGTGCTGCGTCTGGCTGCGCGTCAGGTACTCGGTGTCTGGCCGGCAGCAGAACACGTGCTGACCACGGTGCGCTGCTGGTACTGCGTGACCGGCACGTCCCGCTGCACGGTCAGTATACGCGTTTGGAACTGTGTGTGCGTGACGGGCTGCAGCCGCGTGCTGATCAGCAGCCGCTGCCGTGTCTGCGTGGCTTGTCTGCGTCTCGGTAATGGTGGCCGTGTTGGTGATGCGCACAGGCGAGGCACCAGCTGGGTGGAGACGATCACTTGGGTGCTGGGCACCAGCTCCGTGCGTGTAATGTGCATCGTCTGAGCCGGCAGCTGCACTCCTTAGTGGCTTACGACAAGTCTGAAAGGGATCACCAATCGTTAGCTTTACAGACCATTCGGATTTTTCATTGCAATTTTGGGGATCGTATCATCGCAACTGTGCTCGCTGTTTCCCTCTTCAGATCAAACAAATACAGCCAATGCTACAATGTTGATAACAACTTGTTAGTCGTCATATCTCCCAGCAATTATTCATATAGCTCTTGACAAATAAAGTCATGAACAAGATATCTGAACAAATAAAAGTCGATAATACGGGGCGACCCGCGGCAATTAAACACGCAGTACCAAGCGTGACGGCGGCACCCGCCGCAGACCTCGCGGTCGACGGCATCGGACCCCGCCGCAGTACCCGCGCGGTTACGGCAGCACGCGCGGCGCCGGCAGAACCGCGCGGTCGACGGCAGCACCCCCAGCCGCGACGCGCGTCGACGGCAGCACCCGCCGCAGACCGCGCGGGGTGTCCGACGGCAGCAAGCACCTGCCGCAGACCGCGCGTCGACGGCAGCACCGCCGCAGACCGCGCGGTCGAACGGCAGCACCTGCCGCAGACCGCGCGGATCGACGGCAGCACCTGCCGCAGACCGCGCGGTCGACGGCAGCACCTGCCGCAGACCGCGCGATCGACGGCGTGCGAACCTGCCGCAGGCCCGCGCGTCGACGCAGCACCTGCGCTCAGACGGGCGCCGCGGGCGATCGACGGCAGCACCTGCCGCAGACCGCGCGATCGACCGCAGCGCGGCGTCGCGGGGCATGCGGGCGCGGTCAGGCGGCGCGGGCGGAACCGTCTGGCTTGACTGCGTGCTGGTGGCGGGTGATGTACTGGGTGTCGCCTCAGCTGCTGCGTCTCGGTGGCCGTTAGGGGGTTGTACTTGGTCTGCTGGTACAACCTGACCCGGCACCGGTCTGCGTGGCGGTGTTTCGTCTGGGTGATGAACTGGGGCTCAGCTTAGGCTGTGCGCGTCAGCACCCGCGTCCTTGGTAGGCCGTGCGCACGACGGTGGTGTGCCGGTGCAGGTGCTGTGCACCACTGCCGTGCGGTACTCGGTGCTGACCTGCAGCTGCGTGCTAACTGCGTGCTCGGTGACGGTCTCGGCCGGCGTGCCACCGTTGTGTGTCACCTGATGATTCTGCACGCGCGTGCTGGGTTACTGCACCCGTGGTGGTCGGAATCTGCTCCGTCTTCGTGAGGGTCGAAGTGGAAACGACACACCACCGGCCACCGTCTCCGTACCGTATAGTACTGTCTGGGGCACCACCTGGTGGCTCGTGACCCTCATGTGCCACAGCGTCGAGTAGGAGGTGATGACACGATGCTTGGCTCGCCGGGCGCACTGGGGCACGTCGAGGGCAGGCGGCGGCGGCAGGTACTGCTCCTGCGGCGCGGCGCAGCCAGCGCCAGCACCAGCAGCACGTCAGTGTGCCCAGCAGCATCACCGGCCGGCAGACAAAGGCTCAGCAGCCACGCCAGCGGTGCACGACTATCGCAGCAGACAGCGCGCAGTGACGTGAGGGCGCATTAGTCTCAGCTTTCAGCTCGGTTAGCCAGCTCAAACCCGTCAATAGTTTAGTCAGCTCAGATTTGAAGCATATTGAACATACCTTGGAGGCCACATACTCCATTTCACACCATTTCGATGTGACTTAACTGGAACGAGTCCGGAAATAGAAAATCAGGACAAAGGAATAAAGCTATTCGAATGAGGAAAGAGCGAGCGGAACCTATATATCACAACAGGTTATACAACACAGATCAAAAATTACAAGCGAGCGAGTGCTGGTTGCATTCATGGGAGGAGCTTTGAAAAGAGATTGGGGTGGTTTCGTGCCAATGGTTACTCACCACTTCACTGATGTCGTTTCTAAGGCACAAACGCCTCGATCCCGTATGATCCTACGTCACAAGTAGATAACTCGTTTTGAACGTAAAAATGCCAGATTTGTCTGTTGCAACGTGTATTTCCGGTAGACCACCCACGACGCGCTGAGGCGCTACAGAGCAGTTTTGAAAAAGACAAAGAAAACCGCTGGTGAGGGGCGACGTCGATCCGATCCCAGCTCAGAAAGCCGAACGGGTTGGCCGGCGGCTGGTAGTTGTACCCCTCACAGGGCTCCTTGACCTCAACAACGCGCGTGGAGACCTGCGGCACCACCCGAGTGCTGGTGATGGTGCTAGTGCTGAAGATCTGACTGGTGATGGTGCGTTCCTGCACCACGGGCGGAGCGCTGACTGTGACGATCCGCAGCTGGGTGGTAGCCACATGTCGTACCACCGGAGGCGGGTAACCACGCTGCTCACCACGGTGCGCGTGTTGGTGACGGTAACGGGGGCCGCGTCACAATGCTGGTGCGCGTTCTGCGTCACCACATGCGACACGAAGACGGTGCTGGGCACCACCAAAGTGCTGTGCCGCGTGACGAAGTTGGTGCGTGGTGGCGAAGTTGGTCTTGGTCCGCGTCACCGTGTCGTACTGGGTGTTGAAGCGCGGCTCGTGCACCGTCGAGGTGATCAGGACGGGCTTGTGACTCCGTCACCAACCTTCGTGAGCGTCACCGGGTCGCTGGCCCACCTGTTCCGTCTCGGTGAGCGTCACGTAATTCAGCTTGCGCAGCACGCTGGTGATGGCGGGAGCCTGCTTGATAATCGTGGACGTCTCGTGCTGCAACGCACGTGCTGACGGTGATGGCCCGGCGCCGATTGCGTGATGGTGGCGTACTTGACCACCTGGGACGGGTAGAACTGCGTGGACACGCTCACCTTGGTGGTCGTCACCGTGTCCAAGGCCGTTCCGCGTGGACACAGACCAGTGCGGAGCAGCGTGGACCGTGGGCGTTGGCGGAGCACGTGACTGGTCCTTGGTCACGTGCTGAGTGGAGGGAAGCAGTGCGCGGTCGGACCCGGCACCGTGGACGGTGACGCGTCGGCCGTCTGTGTCCAAGCAGGGCGCGTGCGTTGTAAAAGGGTTGTGACCTCCAGCTTCCAGCGGGCAACGGTCTGCAGCAACGGTGCGGGTGAGCGTGCTCGGCACGGCCCGGTTCACCTGCCTCGCTGACCCGTGGCGTGCGAGACGAGCGTGGAGACGGCGTGCCGTGGTGACGGTGGTCGAGACACCAGCTGCGTCTGCGTAATGTACTCAGTGCGGGCCGCCGGGCAGGGCTGGTACGGTCGGCCGGCGCCGCTCGGCGGCGGCAGGTAACCACCGTCCGGCGGCGGCGGGAGCAGCTGCGCCGACGCACCCGCCAGCAATAGCACCAGACGCCACATCCTGGAAAAGAGATATTACGCGGCTGGTGAGGGGTGTGCGATTGGACCAACAGGCGGCGCAGCCGGGCAAGCGGCGGGTTGGTGCGCAAGTCCAAGCAACACCCTCACCGCCTTGTAACATCTCTTTCCCAGTGTAAGCGCTGCAGCACTTCCATTTAAAAGCTTTTGTTCGTGAAAACTAAGCAGAATGACTTTTAATATCATCAAATTTCGCGCTCAACATAAATGAGGGTACTAACATAACGCTAGCTAAGCAACCCAAGCCAGGACTATTCAGCACCACAAGGAAAGTTCAACGGGGCCGAAGAAGACTTGCTTTAAAGATTGTATCGGGGCGAGGCAGCCAGCGTAAATGAACGCCGGCACCTCGCCACATGGGCTTGGAACATACACCAGACATTAAGTTATTCATCCACTATGCAGTGTTTTATGGGGTATCTTGTTGAAATGCAAGTTCTGACAATACTATTCGACCGTCCAAAGGTTCAGTA